TTCATAATCCACTTGAATCAAACCGTGTAATATGATGTATTAAGAACTATGTAATGTTATGAACGACCAATAAAAAAAAAAAAAAAAAAAAAAAGAAGGTACATAGAAATATGGAATGAAGAGAAGCAAGAAAGAACCATGGAAAAATGCACTCAAATTGGAAGTATTGGTATGGAGTCATAATTTCTACAATATGTATATGTATATATATATATACACACACACACACATACACACATATATATATGTACATGTCCTTTTTGTAGGTATATATGTGTATATATTTGTGTGTGTTTGTACATGTATTTATTTCCAAGTTCTTTCCAATGATAAGGTCAAGAAACAAAGACAATGAAGTAGTAATGAGCTTATCTAATACCAGATTGTGGTCTCTAATAGCATTTGTCGTTAAAAGAAAACAGAACTTTTCAGAAAATTGGCAGGTTCTATGACTAGGGTAGGATGGGTACAGATGATTCTGGAACATTCTATACCAGAGAAGTAAAAGGTGATGATGATGCAATAATATATTTTTAAAAAAATATGGGACCTATAACAAGTAAAAAGAAACCAGAATATCCACTGCCCAAATATGGAACAAAATTGAACACCAAAAGACTTTAGTAGTGAGTTATAAATCATTGGGAATGAATTCCTCAGAAATTTCCAAGTCTGTACCAATAATAAATAAATGGGAGAGAGAGGAGAGATGTTGCTTATGACTGTGTGTCAAGTGTCAAACGTGCAGAGTGCTGCAGTTGGAAAATAATTATTTTGTAGCCATCACAGGAATAACTCAATCAGGGAAGAAATCAATGGATACTGAATCTGAGTGGGAGGATGGATTTTGATGAAGAACAGAATATTTACATGATCCTAAAGATTCTCCTCACAGACTTATTATTAATTACAAGGGGGAAAGCAGGTATTATACAGTGGAGAAATCAGCCAATACCTTGTCCAGGTGATCAAAATTAGTATATCCAATAAGGAACAAATAGGTGTCACTCATATGTATATGCATGTGTGTACATATATGCATACATAGACATATACATGTACGCACAGTTGGCCTTCCATATCTTCTGTTGGCTCTGTGTTCATAGATTTACTCAATCTCACATTGAAAATTAAAAATTAAAGAAAATATATTGAATACAGATTTTTTTCCTTGTCATTATTCCCTAAACAAGACAGTTCAACAACTATTGACATAGCATTTACATTATATTCCACATTGTGAGTAATTAGAGATGATTTAAAGTATACAGGAGGATGTATGTAGTTTGTAAATACTGTGGCATTTCATATAAGGGATTTAATCATCTGAAGATTTTGATATTCAAGGAGGGTCATGGAACCAATTCCCCATGGATAATGAGGGACAACTGACATATAGATAAAGAAGACACAAATGAAGTTATAAAGCAAACAGGAGAATATACTAATAAAAGGTAAGCAAGGATAAAGGATATTGAGATGTTCCTTATACTATTTTTATGCTTTCAACTTTTCCATAAATTTCCATAAATTTCCATAAATTATTTCCAAATAAAAAGTTAAAACAGAAAAACTAAAGTGTTGCTTTGACATTTAATGAGGTTTGGATTGGGACTGCATTTTGTAAGTGTCTGGACCTCTAAAATCTGTGACTACTGCTGGCGAGGCCTTTTGATCTAGAAGAAAGGGAGGGCTGAATTACATTTTGCAAAGACTCTCCATCCAGCCTATCAGATGCAGAAATGCCCTCGCCACCTGTCTGGAGGTAACCTGCTTTCTCTGGGCCAAATCAATGCAAAAACTAGTCAGCACAGGTCTTAGAAGCTCAGGATAGGCTTTGACTTAGTTTTAAACATAGGTGCTTATTTTTAGTGCCTGGGCTTTTGTTTAATGAAAGCACTTCTTTATTTCTAATGTTTTCTTTTGATGTACACTTAAACCATATTCAGACATCAAGAGTGTGAGCTTTTTAATGGCAAAACTTACTAAGGTTCATAACCCCTCTTAAAAAGAAACTCTACCATTTTTAATTATGGTAAAAACACTGTGAAACAATTTTAGGTCACAGACATTCATGCAGAATTCTAATCATGAAAGCAGTGGGTGTTTTCCCTGCTCGCCTGGTGATGCTGAAAAAGACCCTTATGAGTCCCATCAATCAAGGAGGAAAATCATTTTGGCTCTCATTATAGTTATATGGAGGAAATATTTTTATGTTTTAATTTAGAGATATGGCTCCAAATAGCAAAGGGCTCAGTTAATATCCTGAAACAAGATTCTCCAACCTTGCAGATTTGTACTGGGAATGGCTTACAGCTGACTTTCTAAATAGAAAGCTACATTATTAATGACACTCCATAAGATCTCAACTGAGCAGGAATGAGGCTGGTGGTAAAATTAAAATAAAATATTAATAAAATTGACTTCAGCACAGTCAATAATCAGTAATCAAAACCAACTGCACTGCAGTGCAGGAGGCCTATTTAATTTGTAGTTTTACTCAGTGCACACATCCCTGATCACCAGGGGCCACTCGAATTGCTTTACAGGCCGAGGTAACAAGACTTAGCCATTACTAACAGGCTTTTTGCAGCTGCCAAAGAATTCAGGGTCAGAGATCGGGTCCATGAGGTATGATCGAATGATATTAGCCCGTAAACCTTTCGGTGCTTCATTGGTCATTTTCACTCCATTCTGCAGTACTGACACAGGGAAAGTCGGAGATGGGTAACTTGTCAACCAAATTCGGAAATCAGGATGTGTTGATTCTGGGCTTAACTCCTGTAAGAAAATAAATCCGATATAAACGAGTAAATAAAATCCAAAGAAGAATCTCAAGATTATCTGTGCAAGGGATGGGCTGGGAGGAGGAGGTAGCACTTCTATAAAATAAGAAATGTAACAATCACAGTTTTTAGCAAAAGCCTTAAAATCTATTGCTGCCTCTAAACCAATATACTTCATTGAGAAAGCCCAGAGTGTTGTGAGTCTCCTTGAGAAAGTTAACTCAGAGAACTAAACAGCTTATAACGTTGATATATACTTCAGAGTTGGTAAAAATAGAGACTAGGACATTCCCAAGTTCTCATATCTGAACTGATATTGCTGAAACATTTACAGAAACAATTCTCTGTCCAGAGCTAGATTAAGACTCATCCCTTCTTGCTGTAGCCAGATTGGAAGAGTAAGTAATACACTGAGATAAGCCAATATTTAGCTAAGCAAAGATTTTTTTTTAAAAAGTATTTTAAAGAATAAGATGAACTAAAGCATCAATACCACTATTAGTTCTATTTGGTTAAGGGGCCAAGGACTGAACACTAGAGGGTAATAGAAGTCTCAGAACTGTTCTATAGGGCCTGGGAAAACATTATCTAGGACCCTTTTCATTCTTTCTGTCCAATCTCACTCCAATTGTCCATGTCAGTGGTGTCTGCATCTCTTGAAAATTCAAATCTTTATCAGTAACAAAGTTTTTGAGCACTCACAGTGAAGTAGAGGGGTGATTTAGGAAGGATATATAAGTGTCTATGTTCTTTAATAACAAGAATTGTGGGCAAAAGCACCATTTTGTTTTGTTTTTCCCTACTGGCTACCCTAGGTATAATGACTTAAGCAATATGATTAATGGGTCATTAAGCCAAGTTCACCATCCCTTGGGCACTTTTTCCATTTTACATGACTATGTGATGGGTATTTATATTATAATTCGGCAGGTCATGAGATTGGCACATGAGAAATCACAGGAGAAAAGGCATAAATATAAAACCTCCACTATAAGGCCTCAAGTATGAGGACATGTTGGCAAGGTAAACACATAATATAAAGAAGAGTTTTTCAGGTAGATATAATATCTATCACAATGGTCTATGTTTTTGAGAAAGAATGCCGTTCAACAAAAGTCAAAGAAGTTCATATGACAGAAGCAGATAAGTCAAGATGAGAAGTAGGCGGACACCAAACTTGCAAAAGTCAGATCATGAATGTTCTTCTAAGTCATTCTGAGGTTTGACCTTTATCCTCCATGCAATGGGAAGCCACTTAAAGGTTTCAAGCAGGGAAGCAATATTCAATCACTAATCCAATACAAATTTATTTATTGTCTCCTATGGACCAGGCACTATACAAGGTTCTCTCTTTTGAGAACAAACAAAGAGAGAACAAAAGAGAGAACAAACAAAGTCAATTTCTTCACAGAGCTTCACTGTCATTAAGATTCAGGCAAACCAGAGTGTGATAGGTAGCATAAAGAAAAAAAAAAAAACCATCTATCTCTTGAAGATTTTGTTGGATAGCTGGACAGTGCAAATTCTATCGTGTTTGGTGGCCTGAGGGACTCCTTTATCAAAGGGAGGTACGGGGGTGACAGAGTCATGGGTATTTCCTGTGGAAACATTTTCTCTGTGTTTATTGAAGTCAGGTGCCAGGATTTCTGTTTACTCTGTTGAGCTACATGGAATTTTCATCCTGGAACTTCTGCCCACCAAAAATAGGGAAGTACTAAAACTCCCTTCAAGGAAAGTGGGAATAGTACCCTTTTGGTTTCATATTGATCCTCCATGACTTGGAAGCTGGCCAAGAGGATGAGAAGTGAGTTAAAGGAAAGTTGTATTCTAAAGCCTTCTGGTGTAGAGTGGACACATGAATTTTACCTTGAATAGTCTCCTTCGTTGCTTTTGTTCTATTGTGGTAAAAATTAAATTGAGTTACATCCCCACTATGGATGGTTTACTCTCATCTTTTAGCCTGTTCCTCTGGATTAAGAATATTTTCATCTTACTGGATAAACTCTTGTTCCCGTAAGGGGAACTTGCCAAGGCCTGACTGTGTGCCGTCCTCTGTTCCTTCAGAGAGAATCCTCACTGTGAGCCCATCACTCCTGGAATCTAGCCATGCCACCTACCTGCCACCCTCCACACTGAAGGACAGGAAGGAGTTACTTGAATGGTATGTGTATCACTAGTTAGATTGAAGGAATATAACCAAATAAATATAAACCTGCATTTTTACCTCACAGACTTTCTCAAGGGTTGGCATCCAAGAGGTAGCAAGGTGACAATTCTGAAGAACAACCCACGTTCCTTCCTTGACAGCTTTTTCTAACATCTTCATAGCAATGGGCCCTTGGCCTTGACCAAGAGATAAAGAGCTAAGTTTTGAACCTCTATACCCCTATATAAAAGAGTAGTAAAGAGGTTATTTAACATCACAGTTTTAGAAGAATCAATATTGTTATTAACATTAACTCTGTTACAGTTTAATTATGTAGCATCTTTCACAGGTTCAAATGTGTACAGCCCTAAAACACTCAAGTAAGCACTTACATAAAATAGAAGTCAATTCACAAAGGAAACAATCATGGTAATAAGCAGAAAATTCTTTTGGGTCTTTGGTTGTTAATATAAAAGATAGAAAAAAATTAAGACTTTTAATATAAGGAGGAGATGAAAGGAATCATCTCTCTTGTAACAACTCCTAAAATTCAAAGCTGAGAAGAAAACTATGAATAGACGGATGAATGGATGAATGTGTCTTATTTCCTTCAGATCTTTTTTGTGTCTACTGAAAAAAAAATACGAAGAAAGTAAAAAAAAATTAACCACTAATTTCCACACGAAATTTTCTTTAAAAAATTCTGTGGAAGTGTTTTCTGGGAATTAAGTTCTCCTCTATTCTGATTCATCTGTGGCTTCTGGATTTCCATCATTCCACTATAGTTACCAGCACACTGTCTCTCAGGAAGAGGCCTTGGATGATGATAGCAGGATCTTGGGCCCTTTCTAAATGCTCAAGACTAACTGTCACTCCATAATACTGCTCCTGGAAGAAGTGGAGATAGAAGTGAAGACAATGCATGGAGCAGGACCTATACCAGGGCCAGAAGATAATCGTGTGGTCTAATGTGAAAGTGATATAAACAGGAACTAAAAGAGCTCAAGGGTCACCTACGTCATGTTGATCTGGAGATGTGAGTCCCTCATGAGACTGATACTTTATACCACCTCCACTGTTTCCACTAGAGTGAAACCACAGTTTTTGCTCTTCTTGGATTTTCAACTATTTGGTTCACTCAAATCAATTCTGTACACTCAAATAAGAATGGCTTTATATGTTACAGATTAAATCATATAATAAATTAGAGATTAGATCCTGTCACTTTGTAACTTAAAACCCTACCACATCTTCCCATATTACTCAAAATTCTTACTGTAGCATAAAAAGATTGTGAATGTTCTCTTCCTTCACAGATGTCATAACTCATCTCCTCCAATCATGACAGCCATGTCCTAACATTTCTTTAACAAAGTTCAGTTAGACAGTGAATAGTCTAAGATATAAGTATTACATTATGCAAAATAAAATGAATTATGAAAGAATAAATTGACCTAGGAGAAAGCATTTAATCTATAAGCCATCTATAAGTGGTCTTTGAAAAGCTACTCAACCTCTCTATACTTCATTATCCTTCTCTGTGAAATGGAGTACCGCCACTTACCACATAGGATTCTTTAAAAATTAAAAGGAAAAAAAGACACATGTTTAATGAGTCAACAGTAGATATTACACGCTTAAAGTAGCAGCATTATTTTATATATCTCAGCAGTATTACCACAAAAAGTTATTCTGATTATACCAAAATAGGAAAAAGAAAAAAACAACTTAGAAATGCCCAACTTCCTGTTCATTGTTATTTTCTGGTTCTAGACTGTATGACAAAAGAACACTTTTAGTGAACTCATTTGAATTATTTTTAAAGTCTAAAAAAGTAGGTAATAGGACTAATTTGGCAAAGTGACTATAATGAACAATTGTTCTGAAAAGTCAGCAAAGGTCTTCTTCAGAGACTGGAGAAAGGCAGGCTCAATGAAGGTTCACGCTGGGGACACTGTCCAGATTTGAACTTATTAAGTCAACTTAAGCTCATGAACTGTGCAACTGATGTCACAGAGTTCCCAGCCTATCCCAAAGAAAGGCAAATGCCTCTCAAATCTGAATATTGGCTTTACAATTTTGGTAAGGAGCTATTTTTAGTGCCAGTGTTGTCATTTAAGTATCATTGTCTTGGGATCCTGTCAACCTCCAGAACCCCCAAGTCTTTCAAGGGCTGAGTGACAATTCTTGCCTTTTCCTCATGCCAGAGGATTTCAATGGTAAGGAAATATTGCTTTAAAAATATTAACCTCATCTATTGTAAGATACCTGGTCATCAGCAAATTTTAGAAGGGCAGCCATTGGATCTGCTCCAGGAGAGAGCACGAAAATTAGTGGTGCACAACAGTTACTATCTCCAAATGCCTTGGATAAATCAAAGGGGGGTGGCTCAATGAATGCACGTCCCAATCTGTTGATTATAAATTCTTGCACCATTGGAATAACCTACAAAGATACAAGAATATATTTTAAAGAATAGTCAAAATTGTACTAAAATATTAAAAAGTTCAGATTTGAAGGAGAATCTAGATGTTTTAATTAGGTATTTCTCACTCTGCTTCCGGCCCAGTACTGTGGATTGAACGCAGGGCCTTGCACATGCTAGGAAAGCAACATACCACTGATTTACACTCCTAGGCCTTTTAAAATCTATTTTTGAGAGATGGTCTTGCAAAATTGCTCAGGCTGGCCTTGGAATGGTCCTGCCTCAGCCTCCCAAGTAGCTGGTATTAAAGCCATGTGCCTTGTCACATGGCTATGTAGGCATTCTTTAATGGTGGAGAGTTAAAGCTGTCACTGTGTACATAAATGTGTTTTAGATAGAAAAAAGTTATCAATCAATTAATTAAATAACAGATAGTGAGTGGTGAATGACACCAAATTCAAAGGCATTTTTTTCCTTTTAATGAATATTCAAGAGTTGATAGGTAAAGAAGAAAAGGAACCTAAATTCTAAAGTTTTAAAACAATGATTATGTTCTAAAAGCCCAAACTCAACAGTAGAAAGTTTCATGTAAGTTATACAAAGTTTCCCACACCATCAAGGATGGATTGATAAGGGCTGGGGATGTAGCTCAGTGCTAGATGGCTTGCCTAGCATGCACAAGGCCCTGGGTTCCAACTCCCGTATCAAACCTTCCCACCAAAAAAAAAAAAAAAAAAAAAAAAAAGATTAATATAGTTGGGGAAGGAAAATAAGGAAGAGGAAGAAGGAGGGAAAAAGAAGGAGGGGGAGGGGAGGGGAAGAAGAAGGGACTTTTTATGGGAGTTCCATGAAATGTAAACAAGCCATATACCACCCCTGCCCCGGGCCCCCCAAAAACAGACAAAACTCTACTGTGTAGGGTTTCTAATAGCATGCCTAATAATTTTCTGGGAACCTGTTTGAGAAAGAGCAGAAGTCTGTGGCTTGGGTCTCTGCTATGTGGTCCCTTCCAGGTACTGGTGCAGGAGTGGAATTGTGTTAACAGTGCAGTTCATTCCTTTATTCTGATAAGGAGTCTGCACCTGGCATCTTCATTGATGGTACTAGCTAATCAAGACCCAGGTGTGCCTGGAACAAGTGATACAGGTAGGTTTACAAAAACAGTATCCCTGTATCTACTTTAACAAATTATATAAAATTTCTCCCTCCAACTATATAAACTCTTCCCTCAAACATCCTTTGTTCACACTTGCTCTTTCTTCATATTGCTGGTTCCCCCATTAAGAAGCACAATAAAACTCCCTTGAACTGTGTTCAACATCAATTTGCTTTGTCAGCAAAAATAAAAAGTAGTTGAATATAGGGAAAGAAAAGCATAATAAAAAGGAAGCATAGATTGCCAGAAGTAAAATGAGAAGAGAAAATTTAGTGACACACCAGTGCATATTTTTCCTGACATTATTCTCACCTACATTTTATTTGTAGATGTATTTGTGATTTTCATTTTTAAAAATAGGTAAAAACAAATATCAATGGATCTTTCTCCAAGAAAATAAAATATTTAAGTTTTAAGCTGGGTAAATTAATAACATTCTTTAAATTTCTACCACACTCAGTAAAGGAATCAAAACATTTGTTTAACTGTAGGAAGACATGGACATGGAGACAATGGACAATGTCTCCTGCTTGACTTTATAAGAGCTATAGGCATGTCCTTGAAGAGTGTAGTTGAGAAAGAGCCCTGCATTTGTTAACACAGTCCTTGATCCACTGAAAGAGTTTTCAGGCCTTCCTTACTCTGTTAAATACTGAATTTTTTTCCTTTGCATAAAATACAACTAAGCTGAATTAACAATTCCATGTTAAAATATTGAAATACTGTAGACTTCTTTAAAACTGCTACATCCATTTTCTGGTACTACAAATTGATTGATTCCTTTTCAAAGAATGTTGTCAGCACTACTTAAAAGTTTAAAATAAAAATCCTAGTAGATAAGAGACTATTAAAGTAAACAAACTTCAGAAGAACAAGGGTTATCTCAGGAAAAGGAGTAATGGAAGATATTTTTTGAAGGCCCAGAATCACTCCAAATGAATACTGGCTCATGCTAGGAGCCACTGCAAAAGTATTACATTCATATGTTAAATGGACTCCTGCTGTTCACCTAGGCCCGTTTGGGAACTCAAGTTACTGGACTCCCGGAGAGTTCCCATTGGTTGGGGAAGGATGGTAGGAGGGTGTTCGGGGGAAGTGGAACCCCCGGTGCCAGTAGAGACACACGTGTGTGGACCGGCTTGTTAGGGGACGCACACAGCCTCTGACAAAATAAAACTTTGTTTCAGTTTGACTGGCTTGTGTTTTTGTGCCCAACTGGTTTGCAAGATTGCAAGCCGGAGTGCACTGACAGCCCAGCAGGAAGGCGCCCAGCAGGAAGGCAGCAGGCGGTGCTCGGTGAGAGCAGCGGCAGGAGCGGAGCTCAGCAGAGGCCACACAGCCCGGCCGAGCAGCCTGCAGCAGGCTCATATCCAAGGATGGAATTCTGTGAACACACAACACTCCCAAGTTGGGTTAGCAATTAAACTAGCTGCAATTTTTTTTTTTCAATTTAGAGAAAACTGCAGGAGCAAGTGGCCAAGTAACTTTAAAAGATAGCCTCCTCTGGAAAAATTCATAAGTATCTTCAAACTCCAGTTGCATGTCTTTTGGAACATCTATTTTATTTTAGGTTTCTAAGTAAAAATTAGTGATTTTCACATTGCTTTTAAAAAGTCAGTCCCTGTGTTTGCATGTGTTTGTGCTACGTATGTGATTGATGTCGGAAGCTGAGAACTATGAGAGAAATATCCCAAATTTAAATTAGACTTTTTAATTTGTCCCAATATTTTCCTAGATTTCCTCAAGTATGGAAAAGGTATGGATGAGTGAAAACATATTTATAAATGCTGAGAAAGCAAGGACTTACTTAACAAGATATATTGTTCATGAAAATTGGTATCTTTTGAATGAACAAACGAATAAAAAAATCAAGATGCTTACTTTTATAAGGGTAAGGGTTCTAGTTACAGAATTTCTAAACAAAAAAAATCAATAATAAATTCATTTATACATAATGTTTTATTTCTAGATAAAGTTTGTTCATGTTTCAGATATTTTGAATTATCACAGATGCCAAGCTATTGCAGGAATATTAAAATTATCCTAATTGCCTGGCCAGGCTTTGTCCTTGTCTTTCTCTTTATTATTTTTTTTCTCCTATAGCTGGTCTTTTCTCATAGATTAAAAAATAGGATAAATACTAACAAAAGGAAGCAAAACACTGATCTTATAACCTCTTCTTCCCACAGCTAACTTCCTTAAGTTTTACAAACACAGTGAAAAGTATGCAAGTTTTAAGTGTGTGATTGTATTTGTCACAGGTCTGGGACACAAAGAGTCCTGCTATTGGGAAATTCAAGCTGGCATTAGTCACTGTGCTTAGGCAAGCATAGGTGACATGATGAAGTGCTTCTTCTGTCTGTCAGCTCTCGAGAATCAAGTAAGGGATGCTCACCTGAAAGCCAGTAGAGACAAATTGCACTGTTGCACTTATAATGTTAAAAATGAACAAAATTTACTTTCTACCAAGACTGAACTGTTAGTTCCCAAGGCCAATAAAGCACTGCTAGTTATTCAGTTTGCAAGGTAATAGAACTAGGTCTCATGCAATCTGATTATGCCATCATTAGATTGGTATAATGAAATCTGTCAGTAACAAAAATTACAGACTAATTTAGGCAACCATCTTCCCAAAGGCAGAAATGAGGTTTGTGATCTTCTATGTGTGCTTTTCTCTGTGTTGCAAATTCCTACAGGATTTATCTGGGGTCAGAGAAACATATTAACTTATATTTGACAAGTTTCTTATTGAAAGCTGATTAATTTGCTTTTTGTTTACAGTCCAGGAAGACAGAACTATGGCTAGAAGCTTGTCATTTTGTAAATGAGCTCAAAACATTTCACATGTCAGTATTTATCCACTTGATATGTTTCTTTTGTCATTAAAACACTATAAACTGTTTAATTTTAAAGGAAAGTGCAAGACCACTTCATTTTTCCTACTGGTGATTTAGTGAGAATCATTCATGTTTTCGCAAACTTGAGAATTAGAGAGCTTGGCATTTGTGGCTTCTCTCTACTGAGTTGGGTTGGGTTGAGGAGAGAGAGATGGAAAGGAGACCCACTCCAAAAGAGTATACTGACAAAGTCTACTGTAAGCCAGAGATCAATCAATTGCCAATTTGCCTGGTGGGCATATCTATTATCTTTTGACTTAAGAGACAGCAAAGCAATATAATCTATAGACTACCAGCTTAAATATTAGCCTCTACACCATTACTCTTTTCCCTGATATAATACCATTTTGTGTGGGAAACTATGCCTTTAAAAGGCTTATAGCCAAATATCATTTTATATTATATAGATTCCAAAATCATCACTTCACCACTAGAAATTGGAGCACATGTTAACACTAAGCATAAATGGTTTGAAGTTGCTGGATAATATAATGGCATTCTAACAATTATGTTTATATTAAGGACATGAGTGCGATGGTATACAATTAATTATGTCACTTAAGATAGACTGAGTGTAGCTGTAGTTGTTTAGTTGTAGTTGTTTCTTAGTTGAAATGGTTTAACACAACAGAAGCTTGTTTGTTGGCCCTGCAGACATCTGGGTTTGTAGGAACTACCTCTTTGTCAGTTGGCTCAGCCATCAAGCCTGCTTTAAGCACTTACACATCAACACATCATTCTACAATTTTGATGGCAGGGAGAGTACACTGAAGATTCTCACACGGAAGTCACATGCTTCTGCCCTAACACTTGTGTTCATATTTCATTGGCCAATATTGAAGTCTATGGCCACAATCCCTGAACTCAAGTGGGCACTGAGGGAGAGGAGAACTGAGCTAGAAACACTGGTAAGTAGCATTAGTCTACATGCTCAGCCACCTATCCAAGGATAAGGGGAAAACTCTATGGGAGATTTTTGAATACATACAAAAAATGTTATAAGACAGGATGCTGAAGTATTGGGTGGAACAGCTGACAGAAGTTATGAAAACAAGTTTGATCTCCACTGATTTAAAAGCAAACAAACAAACAGCATACAGACCAAAAAAAAAATAAAATACCCCAAACAACAACAAAACCTCAACTCAAATTCCCTCTGATATACTTTGAGAAGAGACTGAATATGGAAGGTAATACTTGTTCTCCTTGCTAGCTCAATATATTTTCAGATTAAACTGTCAAGTTTTTTAAAATGTAAAACTGGGGAAGACATATTTGTAGATGAAACTGACAACAGGAAGTGGCTCATTAATCACTTTTGGGGGGGTGGGGTACTAGGGACTGAACTCAGGGGCACCTGGCCACTGAATCACATCCCCAGCCCTATTCTGTATTTTATTTAGAGACAGGGTCTCACTGGGTTGCTTAGCACTTCGCCATTACTGAGGCTGGCTCTGAACTAGCAATCCTCTTGTCTCAGCCTCCTAAACTGCTGGGATTACAGATGTGAGCTATAGCGCCCGGCTTCATTAATCACTTTTAATCAAACAACATAAATCATGAAATGAAGCCTGTTTTTCAAATATTGAGGAGGAAAGGTCAATGGTACATATTAAGCCATTTTGGTGTAATAGTCTTTAGGTTGGAAAACAAAGTAAAAAGCTGAAAATGTTAATAAAAGGTAAATTATAGGGGAAAATCATGTTAAGCAGGTTTGAAGCATTCAATTTTTCTCCCATATTTAATACTTAAAGTGAAGTATTAAAGTGAAGCTTACCACTAAAGTTTTAGTGCAAATTCTTTTTTAAAAAAGGGAAGGCTATCAAGGGATAAGATATTTCACTGGGTTCAAAATGAACATCAAATTCTGGGATTGTTTCCTTCCATCTCCTAAGAGCAGGACAGCATTTTGACTTTCTTGGGCCCTAGACACTTCGTAGGCTCCATCCTCCATTAAAAAAAAAATTGAAAATTATATTTTACAGATTTTTTGTATAAAGACAAATTTAATACACGTTGGAGAAAATATTCTGTTTTAAAATAAATTTTATTCATGGATCACCTAAAAGTATCTTGGGCCCACTGAGCTGAATGGATACTTGGGCCCTGGCTAAGAACAGATTGCCAACCCATGTAAGAACAAGGTGTGTTCACTGAGCAGACTGTGGCTCCAAGAGGAAAAAATATCTCTATGCCATGCTATCATTGAGGTATATAAAAACAATTTTTAAACTATAGTATTTTTACCATTTATGTTCTGTTTTGTTATTGTAGTTAGAGTGGAGGAAATACCTGATATTTCCTAATTCAAGTTATAAATACAGTAAGTTTTTGTAGAGTATCAATGGACAATTAGGATATGTTCTAAAAAATTTCCCAATGTATCTGTAGTTTATATTTTTCAGAGTATACTAGTATCTTACTCTGTGATATGGTCAATATATTAAGGTGAATATATTTTATATATACTATAATACAAAGAAGGATATAGATGAGTATCCTATACAAATCCATTTCCTGATTTGTTGGTTATATAGTTTATGATTTAAATAAATTAAAAGTAACATTATTGATATTTTCCTTTGTCATCAACAATGATGAATATCTTAAAAATAATATTTGACTTGCTTTCTAAAGGCTGACTATATATATAGTCATTACATATATGTATATACGTATATACATATATGTGTATATATGTATGTGTCTGTCTGTGTGTGTGTGTGTGTGTGTAGAGAGAGAGAGAGAGAGAGAGAGAGAGAGAGAGAGAGTAATTCAAGGCATCTAAAAAAAAACTAGTATAGTAACTTGATGTTAATGCCATTGATTAATTTCCCCAAAGTAATAAAATAAAATGAGTAAAAATGAGACTTTAACATGTAAACAGAGAAGATTATGAGGTATGGGAAACATGAGATATAAAGAAGAGTCATGAAATAAATAAAACTAAAAAATATAAGCTAATTAGTCACTTAGCATGATTTTAGTAAAAACTTTTTGAAAAATGGCTACATTAAAAGGAGGTGGAATATTTTTCAGACTCCCCCTCCTCCATGATTACTAAAGGAAATACACATTTGGCTGGACTGTGCAGAGAGGAGAGGCAGGAATCACAGAGCTTCTTTCAAAGACCAGGTTTACCTTATCTGGCCTTAAGCATCGGATGATCAGCATCCTTTGAAACTCATTTGCTTTTTCTTCCCACTCTTCAGGGAAAACCTCATGGTGTGGTTCCTGTAAGTACAATGCATATATAATTTAATGTTCAAGATTTTGTATAAAAAGCAGGTATTTTGATATAAATCAATTTTTAGAGAATATATATAATGAATAAGTGAAAACATGCTTGTGTGAATTTCATTATTTTATTAAAGTTGGGGCAAAGTTATGAAATAAATAATAAGAAAATTAAAAACATCCTGAAGGACTCAAAACAAGGACACAAACTAAATAGATTAATGTCAACATGTGTGTGGTGCTTTTTTTTTTTTTTTTTTTTTTTGAGGGGGTGCAGTTCCAGGGATTGAACTCAGGGGCACTTGATCCCTGAGCCACATCCTCAGCTCTATTTTGTATTTTTATTTAGAAACAGCCCTATTTTCACTGAGCTGCTGAGGCTGGCTTTGAACTCAGGATCCTCCTGCCTCTCCAGCCACTGGAATTAGAGGCGGGCGCCACTACACCTGGCAATGTGTGTTTTTGAAACTTCAGGATAGGCTATGTGGTTTCTCAAATCATCAATCTCTATGCTTCAGACAGTTAATAAAATTTTAACTTAGAAAAGAGTATTAGCAAAAACACTTGTTTCTAGGAAACATCTTACTATTACCAAGGAGAAATCCAAACTAGATCCATTACAAATATGTAAAGTCATGTGTAGATACACTCTCACTATCATTTATAATAGGCAACAAATAAAATAAATTTCCACCTATCTTTCTCTTCTCCACCAACTTTGCCCAGAGCTCTTGCTATAGTATATAAAAAGGAAAACAAATAGTCAAAAGAGTAGAAACCAAGGAATAGAAAAAAATTAACTGGGAATTAGAAAATACTAGTCCATGTACTTGAGGAAAAACAACAATTGCTATATATCTCAGAAAGGAAACTTTTATGGGCATGTGACAAGTGTAATAATAGGCTCTAATTAGCAAGATAAGGTCTTAGGAAAATATTTTTAAACTAGTAGCTCTCCCTTTTCCTCAAATGACAAAAAGTATTTATTAGCTTGTGTTCTGCCTTCAGAATATATAATCAAACAGCTATTTGTGTGTGGGGTGGGAAGTGGCTTTTTTTTTTTTTTGTCTTGCTATGCTGCCCCAACTGATCTCAAACTCATGGGCTCAAGTGATCCCCCACCCAGCCTCCTGAGTAACTGAGACTACAGGTGTGTGCCACCACAGCTAGCATGTTTGATAAAATTTCAGTTTATCTGCTCTTATGATTGTCAAAATCTAATTTGATAATGAATAAGAACTTGGAATGGAAATTCAACCAAAATATTTGAAGACCATGCAGCTGCTACATTTCCATACATTTCTGAGACTAAATGGAAGTTTAATAAAACCATTGACTTAGAAAGGTGAGGATAATATAAATCAGAGCTTGTATTTTAATATCTAACCAGTTGTTTAAAGCTGATTTAAATCTTGCTTTTATGCAAAGATAAGATACACTATTTAACATTATTTTCTCCATTTAAAAACTGTGAAATAAACAAGAGGGTTAAAACATACCAAACTATCATATACTCTTTTCCAGCCATCCTTTAAGCGCATAAACTCTTTCCGAATTGCTTTGAAAGAAGGCAAGTCATCTAATCGACATATCTCATCCCAGGACTTTTGAGGGAGCCAAGTACAAGGGTTGGCATGAGGGTTATCCAGTCCAATTCCACCAGTTAGCAGAAATCTCCACTCAGTTTTATTGATCTTTAGAAAACAAAGCACCATGAATGAATTAATCATTAATCAGTTTATATTTTAAAAGAGCTGAATATTTATTTATAAGTTTCATATATAGTTATAGTCCTAATGAAATTCTGAAGCTTAACACAGCTCATTATTTAGCCAAAAGAAAACAAAATATCAATTATAAACAGTTTTCAAAATAGTTTCATTTTAAATAGCTACTTTTCAATTTCTTTTTCCAGAAATAATCTAAATATGAAAATTTGAATATATTCTATTTTAATATATGTACTTTCAAATGATTGCTTAAGAGTTCTATTGGTCTATACATTGTAGAAAGGTAGAAAATTATCCATCTGCCATATTTTCAATTATTTTACACAAAATATACAAAACTTTGGCAAGAAATGCAAAGAACAAAATCATTACTCTTTGAGAATTCAATCAATATATTACCATAGAAAATCAATAAATCTTGAACATATATTTGTATAAAGTAGTGAATTTATATTTCTTTTCCATTTAAAAAAGGTGCTTCCTATATTTTAAATGAATAGATTTAAAGGATAACAAAAATTTATGTAAGATACTATTTAAGCTCAAATGGTTAGATTTGACTAACTTGCACATGATTTAAAAAATATTACCATGTACTCTATAACTTGGTAAAAATACATAAACATATATAGTAAATTTATATGCATTGTTATCTAGGATTCTAATAGAAACAGACTTATTTTAAACTAAAACATAAAAATTTAAGTGATAGTAACATAATGAACTGTGTTTAATTTGTATTTCACCTGTGTGAATAAACTGCCTTGTTGTAATGCCTTGCTTTAAATAAAAATTAGCATCATTTAAATCTACCTATAATCTTTTCATATATATTCCCATACAAATTAGTAAATTAATAAATCCGTGTTAATATTATGGTGTTGTTGTTCTTAGGACTAAAGCAGTACTGACCACACGATCATGGATCTGTAGATTCACAGTGAGACAAAAGGAGAAGAGCAGCTTATCCTTTTCAAAGAGAGACCGGCAGACATTAACATACAGTGAGTAAGTGAAGTGATCCCTGAGAATCTGTAGCCTGAGGAGTCCATGGAAAAGTGAATAAATAAAAATACGTTACACTTAAAAAAAAAAAAAAACACTCTTAAAAAAACCCATTATAAGCCATTTAGATGTATGTTCTTTTAATAAACTTTCTGGTCAATTACCCCCAAGCAATCAAGGGTCTTCAGCAAGAGCACCAATTTGAGAATCACACAGTATAGAAACACCTCAGTAGAATTGCATTTTACTGCCAACTGATTTTTTAAAAAAAATTCATCTTTCTTTGGGGAAAAAGCCAGTGCATGGTATATTAATCTATTACATTAAAAGGTTTGTAGGCTATTTTTAACTACAAACCATTTCTGGGGGTAAAATATGACCTTGATAATGCAGATACTTTGAAATATTTTATAATAAATGTTAAATGAGCACAATTAAATTAATAATTTCTTTGTTAAATAATTAACAGCAGGTTTGCTATTATTTATGATATTCTGTTCATAAGTCCATAAAATTATTATTCTGTTATTTATGATACTCTGTTAATAAATCCATAAAATCTAGAGAAATCACAATTTGATTATGCTTTTTTATTAGCCATAGAGACAAAACATGGATATGAATAATTACAATATTTCCAAACTGATGGCTACTGTGTGATCTGTATCTGTAATAATTCTTAAAAATCAATATGACATTTTATGAATTTTAACTTAATTGTCAAAGGAAATAAATTATTGAAATCAATCAAATTTTAAAAATATTTTTATTACATAAGTATAAAATTATAATAGGAAAGAATAGTTAGGTAAAATATTTGTTAGCTAAAATATTTAGCTAAATATTTAAAATAGCTAAAATATTTATAAGGAGCTGATGACTAATATAAATAAGAACCTAAATTTTCTAAGCAGATCAATTATTTGAAGGAAAAATCAACATAGTTTGATTATGATTAAGCAAAATTATACTGGTATTTCTTAAAGTCTTTACAAAAATATTACTGCTAAGACCAGAATTTAGCCATTTTCAGACTGATACCCTATACTGTTACTCACTCTCGTTGTATTTTCTTTTTTATTTTTTCTTACCTGCCTATTTCCTTATTTATTTTATCACCTGCCAGCATTCCCATAAAATAATGACAACAAATTAATAAAACAAATTATGCACCTATATTATTTCTAGCTGAGAATTCTGAAAAAGGGTTTGGTGGAGAAGGCCTTGAAAATAGTTGTGGTAATACAGTTGAATTCTTACTCCTGTTCCCATTGTTATGCTAATAGGCCTCTTCATGCATGGCATTTAATGTGTCTCACCTGGAACAGTATAATTAGTACAGGTGACTCAGGTTTGGTCTTTTCTAGAATAAAAGAAAAATCTCTGCACTCTAAGACGAATTTCCTCTTGTAAACCGGAAGATCAAAGGAAAATTATAAAGGTCAATCATATTAGAATTTCAAGCTTAATCCTCCTAGTTCAAAGTGCAGATTAAAATATGATATTTTAATAACCCATTCCATTGGGAAAATATTAAAAATATTCATTCAGTGCTGGGAGTGACACAGTGATATCATTCATGTTCCTCTGATGAAGTTGTATATTTGAATAACTTTCCAGTAAAGAAATTCATATTTTCTGGAAAAAATTAAATTTCTTTGTCCTAATTTTGGGATTTTAGCCTAAGGAAAATAATGATGTAGATGTTTATATTTACTGCAGCATTATATATAATACAAAAGCTAGGGACTACCTATAAGTCTTAAAGAAATTATGGAACATTCCTAAAATGGTATATTGTACAGCTACTAAAAATGCTTCAAAAAACTATTTAATAACATGGAAAAACTGTGCACTGTGTGTGTGTGTGTGTGTGTGTGTGTATACATAGAGAGATCTCAGTTTGGCCCCAAATAACAAAACTTTGTTGTTGTTTCTGTGGTTTTTTCCTTGCTAATTATTTATTCTGATACATAAATTCTAATGTACTAAATTAAAAAAACAGATAATTCAAATTACTTATGGAAATTTCACAGTATCTACCATAATAGTCATAACATATTATTGATGTCATACTTAAATAATCAATATGAATAATTACCACTAGAAAACAAATAAAATGAAATAAATTTATATATCTTTGGGCTAATATTAAGATTCTATAACAAACTTATAGGCTAGTATTAATGGACACATTCTCTCTGGGCTTTTGGTATAGCTATGATCCAATAAATGGCTACAGTCCAGCTATTATCCAATGTTTATCAATGATTGGCAGATAAACATATCATTCCTATAAAAACTCATTCTCTTTTATCTTTGATCTGGCAGCTGGTGTCTTAATTGGAAACTTTTATTTTACAGAACAGAGAAAGGATGGGGATTAACAGGACTGTCTAAAGAGTCTCTCTTGGTGTGGCTGCTTTAGAATACTGTTCTGCAATATTGACTAAAAGGAAATACACCCAAGTTCTTTGATCATAGGTTCCATGCCAGGATATATACCTACCAGAGATGCCAACACACCTGCACCAAACCCACAGAGGAGAAGGCTCAGGGCAACAAAGCTCAAAACAGCCTTAAACTAGAAGTACATGTCCTCAAAAGAAGAATGGACAAATACTCTGGGATAGAATTTTAGGACAAACAAAAATTTAAAATAACAGGCCTAATTCTCTTGTTGAAAAATGAGATTCCTCTTCCCTCCTTTGCCATAGAGCACCTTCAATTGTAATTATTTTCTCCTATCTTTGAAAAATGTATCTAATGTTTTTAGAAAGCCTTTGTCTGCTTTACTTCTTTGAAATGTAAATATGCGGGGGAAGGGCAGGAGCCCAACATTAGTGGGCATCTTGCTCCAAATTGCCAAATTACCTCCAATCCTATAGATACAAAAAGTTTGTTTTGCTTCTAGATAAAGCTAATTTGCTATCACAGATGGTCACCTCAATTAGCAAGAAGAGTTAGGATGAACTAAGCGTGACATTATGAGTTGTATTTGCTTGGCTAGCAATAAAGGGGGTAAAATTTCTTTCTGTCTTCACAATCTCTCTGCAGTTTGCCTGTAACATGCATCACATTCTGGTTTAACGCTTATTCAGCAATAAAGCTGTTTTCTTTGTCTACTACCTTTGTGGAGAGAATTTCTGCCTGGGTCAGGAGAAGATTTAGATTTTAATTACATTTCCCCAGTAAGTCACACAACGGAGAACTAGTTAACAATGAAAGAGTACAAAACACTGCACTTCATACAACAATATGCACAAATTTCACAAACATAATATTGAGTGCAAAATGACAGACACAGAAGAGCACACACAGCAAGCCCATTTTATATGAACTTCTAAAGCAGGCAAACCTAATTCACAGAGCTGAAATTGGGACAGTGGTAATCTTGGGGGAGGGAAGTCTGTGGCTAGAAGTGGATCAGAGAGGAATTCTTGGGCTGTTGATAACATCCAGTGTCTGGAGCTGGGTGCTGGTTTTACAAGTGTGCTCACTTTTGAAAATTCATTGGGTAAATACTTCTGATTTCCGAACATTTCCACAGATACATTAATACTTCAGTAAAGGTTTTAAAATATAATTTCTTTATTAGTACTTGGTTCCAGAATTATCTTTTACATTTTCTAGAGTCGTGCATATGATTTTTATTATTTCTGAATTAAAGGATCTAAATTACATAATTCAAGGAGTTTGACTGCAAAAGAAAATGCCATCTATGTTTTCTAGATTTTATCGAAATCTCGTATTTGGGTAAAAGGAGTTGGCTTTCTTTGACTCTTAAAGGACTCTACCACAGTTATGAAGAAAAAGATGCCATATCTTGGATGAGCTTTACTTTGATAAAGCAAGAAATAAATAAAGGAACAAGAGCTATTTTAAAAGTACAGACTTGATCAGGAGTGGTGGCATATGCCTATAATTCCAATAACTCAGGAGGCTGAGGCAGGAGGATGGCAAGTTTGAGGCCAGCCTCAGTAACTTAGCAAAGCCCTAAGCAACTTAACAAAATCTTGTCTCAAAAACTAAAAAGGGCTGGGGATGCAGCTCCCAATAAACCACCCCCACTCCTCAAAAAAATAAAAAATAAAAAAATTAAAGCACAGACTTGTTCTAATTTTTAAACCTTATATAAAAACATTTCTTTAAATGATAAACCAACAAAATTTTCTACTCTATTCTCCTATAAATAGTAAGGGTTTATACTAGTTAGAGTATAACATTCTGATGGTTATTATTTTAAGCCAGGTTGAAATTAAGAATCCCAATGAAAGGCAGAACATCATTTACCAAATGGCTACCATGTATACTATACTGTAGTAAGGACTGGGAAGTTTTTAAATCCTGTGGAATCTACTATGCAAACCAAACATGCATGCTTAATTAAATAACTTATAATGCAAACAGCCTGAAACTTTTAAAAGAAAGATCACCTAAAAGTTTTTTTTTCTTTATTACAGTAATCCTTGCTAAACTTGAATATTTCAAGAACTGGAAGAAATAGAGAAATAACCTAAACATTTTCAAGTATCATTATGTTAAAATGAACTTGAAACTACTATCATGCATTTATTCCTGAGAAATAACTCCCTTTTTCTCTTCTTTTTGTCATGAATTTTTTTGACAAGTCCAGTGTGTCAGCTGAATACCTTTATTAGTTTAATATTCAAACTTGAAAAGTAATGAATGATACTGGCAAAAAAGTTGCTCACTCTGAGCACTCAAAATTTCAGACCTCTACCATGATAAATAAAAGGAATTCTATTCAGATTTAAATGAGATTAGCACTTATGATTTTTAAAAAATGATAATTATTTACTGTGATCACTATTCAATTGAGTTTCCCTGTGTGTGTGAACCACAAAGAAACCAACTACCAAGGTTCATAATGATCAAGAGCAAAAGTTGTAATTATTATTATTTTTACTCAAAAAATAATTTCATGTTGAGCCCTATTTAAAACATGTCTTAATGCCAAACTAAAAATTATCTCATTGATAACAAATCAAATGAATTCTTCTCTATCATACATTTATTACTAAGTAAGGTCTTAATTGCTCTACTTTGATAGTCACTATAATAGTATTATAATATTTTTATTATTATATAAAATAAAGTATATTAATACATAAAAGAAGCTCTGAAAAAAAGAGAGGCTCTAATTATCACAAATAATTATACTAAGATTTAGAATTTTTACCTTGGTCCCTGACAAATTACATATGTATGAATTAAAATGTGAAATGCGACTTTTGGAAGGTAAGCTCGAAGGGAGTAGGAATCACACATTTTGGGGGATATTAACACTCTTCTCATGCCTTTAGTCATTGAGATATTTTGCAAATGATAAACAGAGGTAAATATTTCTATTTCTATAGCTGTATTATAAACCTATATCTCTGTAAAAAAATTTCTTGACAAAATAAATTTGGACACATGTGTTCAATTTCTAATTCTCAAATTAATATCTCAATGGTTAACCAAGTTCATTTTAGGCACGAGTCCTGCACCATTCTGAAATAACAATGAAAATCATAAATTACTAACCTTCACACCTTATTATTAATTAGTATTTCTTTTACATACCTTTTTGCTAAGATTTCTGATTTCTCTGAATTTTCAATAGACAGGATGAAGAGGTTAATAAACCAGGTCAGTGAATATTGGTACATGGGCTCAATGTTGGCTAGATCAGCAATAGAAAAAAATAGGATGGAGGAATGGATGGCGATGGGACGGTAGCCCATGCGGGTGGCATCAATCTTCTTCTCTGTCTCTTCAGCTACTTCCTGCTTTTGAGAAATCTCATTAGCCAAAGCCTTGGAGGAAGATAATATCTTAATAGCAGTTTCATCTTCTAATATATTGCCTTCTGAAGATGAAAGAACTTCTAAAATCTTGTCTTCTATTTCTTTTAACTGCCTGGAATAAAGCACAATTTTCTCAAAAGAAAAAGAAATCATCCAGAAACACTTCACATACATGTTCTTTTAAAAGACACAAAGAGCTTGTAACCTAAAGAAAGGTATCACTTTGTGACAAATATCTGTAATGGAGATGTTATATAATTAACGTTTTATCTTGCAAAATGTCACAATGATGAGCCTTTCTGCTCCAGTACCCTCTCTAATGGTCATTTATATGGTACCTAGAGAGACATACGGCTAGCCAATCTACTCCGCCATTAAGAATATCAGCTCAGAGTGAACAGAAAGTATCACTTCATTTATTTTCTGAAATTTTTCATGACTTACAGAGCTTTACCCTTTCTACCTATGATATAGATATGAGCAGAAAGTGGGATACAACGTACGCATTCACACAGTGCTCCAGTGTAACATGCTCATTACACAATGGACACTAACACTTTTGTGCTAAAACTTTGGGGAAGAGGTGAAAATACATTGCCTATCAAGCCTTCTAACTCTTCTAGCATCTAAGAACTTGTATGTAAATATATATTTGGCCTTATATTTAAAATTTTCCCATTTGCTATAGCTGATAGTTTAACAAAATAAATCTTTAACATGTATTTTAGTTCATTCTAAATGATCTCAAGACAAGAATAGTTCTGTTTTATGATAGTTAGAACCTTTTGTTTTCGGCTCCTTGCAATATCAAGGCTTGCTTTTCTTCTTCAAGATCTGGCCTTTCTCGTGCCACCACAATGCCCAGAAGCTGATCCTGCATTCCTTCTGGAGTTATCATGAAGTTTAATAATGTTACCTATGAGTAAAACAGTATAAGTGAAAAATGCATCAGTATTTCTATCGAGAAAGCCTCTGCTTATATGCCTCACGTTTTGACCATAAAATAGATTCTAATATATGTGAAAGTGGAATTAGTAGAGAATACAACCAAAGAAATAGACAAGTATAATTGTTGGGTTAAAAATCCCACAAAAGTTTGTTACAGTCAGAAGTATAATACTTCAAAGAATTTGTTTGGTGGTCAATTTATTCTCATTTCAAACTATTCTGATTTCTGACATCTATAATACTAAAATAAATTAGAATCAGTTTGGAAGCGATCCTTTATTTTGGCAGGACTAGCTGTTTTACTTTTTAAGGATTCTAGTGGTGTCAAAAGTAAAGGAAAATTTACAAAGTGAAAGGAGGGATAAAAGAAATACTTATTACTTGTCATGAATAAGGTATTTTTGCAACATGATAATCAGCCTCTATTGTGCACTCAGAAATTAACAAGTTAATAGTATCCCATCAAGAGTCTGTCAATCAGCTGGGTGTGGAGGCGCACACCTGTAATCTCAGCAGCTCTGGAGGCTAAGACAGAGCATTCAAGTTCAAAGCCAGCCTCAGCAATTTAGCAAGGCCCTAAGCAACTTAGTGAGACTCTGTCTCAAAATAAAAAATAAAAAGGGCCAGTAATGTCAGTATATAAATGTTTTTGTTTTTTTTTTTAATCTGTCTGCTAACACACCTGCTTAATGCATGTAACTAATTGCTCTTATAGGCAGATCTCTCTTGTTGCACATCTTAACATTCTTCCTCTCCTGGCTCTTTCCCATAAACATGTAAACATACTCAGGTCTCTCTTTTTTAAAAAACAGCAAATAAGTCATTCTATTGTTCCTATAATCCCATCCAGCTCAGGAATGATCTCTTTACTTTGCTTCACAACTACACTTATTGAAAATGCTATTTATATATGTTGTCTGTCTCTACCTTATTTCATTATTCAGCCCTCTAAAATCTGCTTCCTTCTCTGTCTCTGTGTACCCAAAAATACACACAGCAATAAACCATAGCAACTTTCTGGCTGTAGTCACAATGAAGCCATAAATCAATGAACACTTGCTTGAGCTTGGCTTCCTGTGAAATCCTCCCTTTATTGTTTTTCATGAACCTGGCAGTCTGCCTGCCCACTTGTGTTAAAGTCTGCACCTGTGTCTTAAGCCTCCCTCTACTCCCTTTCATGTGTCTATTACTTGAGCTACAACCAACTGATTGTGGAATCCCATACCAACTATGAAATGCCTCCCTGTGCTTCAATGTTTGCTCTACTTTACACCCTTCCTGTTATAATCCACCAGATCAACTCCTTTTCATCTGCTAAGGTGCAGATGGAGTATTAGCTCCTCTTGGAAACTTTTCCACACCATGTGTTCCAGCCCCATGCAGGCTACTCCTGGCTTTTCTTCATTGTGGTCCAAACTCCTCATAGGTAGCACACATTATACTGGATGCAATCATGGGGTTACTCATCTCTCTCCCAGACTAGAGTAAAAATAGTTTTAGCCTGGGGATCATCTCTTACTGGACATCCTGGCTCTGTTGACTGGCAAAAAGCCATGCTCCCTATAAACTTACTGAATGAACAATCACAATGTCAGTGTTCCCTGTTCAAGGAGTTGTTTTCTGCTACTTTGGTTTCCTAAAATTTGAATCTGACAATTATTCTCCCTCTGCCACAAGAAGAATAAGACACAGTCTGGCTCCTGCCCTCCTTAAGGAGTTTTGGTTTAGTTGGGTAAATAGAAGTGTAAATAACATCCAGTGGGGTGAGGACGCCAACAGTGGAAAGCACGTGTGCTACAGAGGAAGGTGTCTAACCCAGGTCGGGAGGCCAGGGAGGGCTTCCTCCAGAGGAAGGTCACCTGAGCTAAACCTTACAAGATGATTCGCAGTTAGTCAAAAGAAAGGAGAGGGCCAAATTAGAAGCCAGAATTTCCCTTGGTTATTTAACAGGCTCTCCTTCAGAATTGAAGAATCAGTAGTGTCTGCATTCCATCTCCAGAAAGTGGGATTTAATTGGTCTGGAGTGGGGCCAGGGTGTTTGGGAGGTGATGTGAACAGGCAGCAGGGTTGAGAATGACCGCTCCTGGTGGAGGACACAGCACAGGCAAAGAGGCAGAGCACGCTAAGGGGAGCCTAGGCAAGTGACCATGCATCACTGGACCGTATGCAGGCAGAACCCCAGAAGGACTCTTCACAGTCTTAGGATTAGTGAAGATAAACATTTTCTGTCATGTGTACCTGAGAATTCAACATTCATAGCATCGATACTAGGAATGTTTTCTTACCCTTAAAAATACTACAAACATCCTAGTAATTATTGCGAACCATCAGAGGCAACCACAGTGTTCGTTCAAGTTTTCATTATTTCACTAATGAAAAAAAATTTTTAATAGGAAGTTCCCTCCTAAACTCAGATCAGAGCACTGAATCCTATAGTGTCTTTTTTGTCCAAAAATTTGTTGTTGTCTTTTTATTTTGGTACTGGGTATTTGTCCCCGGTATTGAACCCAGGGACATTTTGCCATTGTGCTACATCTCCAGCTCATTTTATTCTTTTTTTTGAAACAGAATCTTGTTAAGTTGCTGAGGCTAGATCATCCTGCCTTAGCCTCCCTATTCACTGGGATTACAGGCATGCGCCACCATAACTTGCTTCAAAAGTTTTTAATATATTTTATATCACAATTTACCTAGATTGTAGGTGTTAAATATTGCCATTTTGGCATATCTAAATCTGATTTTTTTTTTTTTTTTGGTACTGGGAATTGAACTCAGACACACTCAACCACTAAACTACATCCCCACCCTATTTTGTATTTTATTTAGAGAAAAGGTCTCACTGAGTTGCTTAGCACCTTTCTTTTATTGCAGCTGGCTTTGAACTCATGATCCTCTTGCCTTACCCATCCAAGCCACTGGGATTACAGCCATGTGCCACTGCTCCCAGCTGAATTTTTTAAATTATAAATTTAATATAGGAGAATTAGAAGAGAAGGAACAATAACAAAAAACCCCATCAGGCAAACTACCTACTTGTTGCAGGTTACGATCAACCAAACAAAATACATGCAGCTACTAGAAGGATGATTTGCTTAGCCTAAGTATTCTTGATTTTGTTTTATTCCACTCAAGGCTCTACTAATCTAGGAAGCACCTTGTGTGGATTAGGACAAGAATCTTTCTACCTGCTGACAGCCCCAAACTAGGCCAAATCTAACTCAAGTGCTCAGGGTTAGGATTCAGCTGTATTCAGCTTTATCTTTGTGTTCCGTACAAATGCATAGCATCCAGCACTCTTTCCCCTAAGGATGAACAATTTCCTAGCAGCAGAAGGGTTAAAAAAAAAGAAAAGAAAAGAAAGAAAAGGGGGGAAAAACCCAACGGTCAAAAATAATATTATCTCTGAACTCTTCAGCATCTTTGGTGGTTTTGCCTGTTTTGCAAACTTTTGGCATTGCCAAAGCATCAAGGTCTTCCTTTCTTCCAAACTGGTAATGCTGTTACTGATGATCTATTTTTGGTCTTTGTCTTTTCATTTTTGTATCTCAGCTCTGTCTACTGGGTGGCAAACATTGTGTTTTCCTGTCTTTCCTTGTAAGAGAATGTTCCTTCTGAAGGAAGAGAGTAATTTGGCTATTGTAAGGAAATTTCCTGCCTGGGGTCAGTAAGAGTAAAATAGTTTCTGGTAGCACCCTAGAAAGGCAATCCCCTTCTATCCAAACCCAGGCACCTGCTCTGTGGTGGTTGCTGTTTGGGTTAAATTTTTCTCTCATTTGTGGTCTGGCTGGTCTTGGATGCCACTAGGTATAGATTACATGAACATAATCACAAATTTAGATGAGATAATTAGGAATTCTTGAAACTGAGCAGTTTGGAAGATTTATTAACTGTTGCATAATCCTCTACTGCTTTAGCATTTATTCAAGGAAACATTATAATTAAGGCTTTTAAGAGACTCTTTTTCCTATTGGCATGAGAAACCATGCTGCACAGGTGACATTTGCTTTAATGCAAAAGCTATAGGCACAGCATTAGCAAATGCATGTTTTATAACTTCTACTTCTCTGCATTCAAAAAGAAAGTATCCATTCCTATTCCATTAATGTTGCATCTTTTGAAATCAAGATTTTTCAAATCTAGTCATTTGTTCACAAATAAACACTTTAAACCATACAAATATGGTGTCATAGGTTTACTTTCATTTAGACTCAAAATACTATGGCAGCACGACACCATCCCTTCGGTGTTTTTGAAAGCAAAAGGATCCTAAAAATTAGAATCAAGAGGAAGTATTCTAGTTTGTAAATGAAAGCAAGTAACGGCCTCACTATGTTTTCTAATCCCTGTTTAATCAATCCCAGCAATTAAAAATAATGAAGCAATAAGACACTCTGGGGATCGTAAGGATTTCTATAGTGAATCACAGATCAGTTTCTTCCCTACAGCGTTTTATGACTTCTGCCATAACCAGTTATTAGTGAACTTATGTTATTTTGTATGATATTTTCATGTACTTACTAGAAAATAAAAAAGGCTTTACCTGTTATTTATTTAATATGTTTTTCAAACACAGCTTTGGGCTTTTATTTTTTTTTTCTCTTCTACTTCATTCTTTTTCACTTCTATTTAGAAGTTAAATAGTAATGCTGATAGTTAACTTTCATCTAACATTGCCCACTGAGCATATTCTATAAGCATTTTACATAGATTGGTCTTCACATGAATCTCTATGGGATACAAACTTTTATCATTCCCATTTTACGGATGAAGGAATACAGGCACAGAGAATTTAAGTGACATGTCCCAAATCACAACTGGTGAGTGATAGAGCAGGATTTTAAATCCATGTTTCTTAAAACTATATTGGATATAACATCTCCTAATAGGTAAATAGATATTTGATATTTTTTTAGGTGTCTAGATAACATATTATATTTTAATTAGTTAAAAAGAATAATCAAGAATTTC